CACTCACTCACACACACACACTCTCACTCACTCACTCACTCACTCTTAAAGTGAGTCTTCACTCACTCAAGATCTTAAAGTGGCTGTGTTTTAAAATTACATTATTATAATCTTAATTCAAGTGATGAAGGCTTTTGAAAGTCTGACAGTAATCAGGTAGTCGAACACTGGGAGTCATTCTGTTGCTTATGAACTGTTCACTTACAATAAACCATCTCTGGATCAGTGAGCAGCAAACCTTATACAAACTCAAACAGGATTTCGTCAGATGAGCATGTGTATCTTCTGCCATCAACATCACAAGAAAATAAAAATGAACAATTATACAAAAACTAGGCCTGCTTCATGAAGCAAATCTCACAAAGGAACAGCCAACTCATTTCACAACAAATTCTTACCATAAGTTAGATGTTGCATTAAACTCAAGAGATTTTTAGGATAATTTAGAGTTTGTGCGTTCACAATTTTAATTACAATTAAGCACAACCAAATTCTCATTACACTAATGCAGTTAAACAAAATTCAAAAGAAACTTAAAGGCTAAATTTATAGAGTAAACATTTTTATTATTCGCTTGGGTATGAAGTACAAGGCAAACATAATAGGTTTTGTGAAATTCACCAAATAAGTTCATTTCATGCCATCCAGGAATCAGACATCTGACCAAAAACAAAAACTAAATTAAAACACTGCTTGTGAAATGCAATTCGGTCACTTCGAAATACAATCGTGGATAACACTTCACTAGAACACAAACCATTAAGTGTTTTGTAAACAAAAAAAACTTTATTAAAAAAAAATATATTACCTACACATATGCCCACACACAGTGATCATGTACATTGTGTGGTATATACACAGTATATGCATATATACGCTCTAAAGGGTGTGAGTCAGTTGCGTAGCGTTTGGTCCACTGTTTGTTTCAGTCAGGAGCTGTGAGTCGATGCTTCCTACCAGAGGATCAGCTGTAAGAAGAAAAAGAGGTGTTAGCAGCAGTTTGGTATCACACTATTGTCTGTTCTGATCTATTGTTTTCCTGCAATAGAAACATTCCCGCAGTGAAGACAGACATTAGTGCTGATCTTCAAAATCTGAAACATTGCATAAAAACAGCCAGCCAGATTGTAGTTCTAGCCATAGTTGATACTGTCTGTGCGCATCAGCCTGCCCCCTCGTCTGATCGGGTGTTTAATGTGATATAGGAAAGCGTGTCAGGGCTTCAGACTGGTTAAAGGTTGTTCCTCCAGAGATGCACGGAGGAGCTTGTAATTGGGATGGAAACCCGTAAGAGGTTAATGAACTGTCATTGGCCCTCACCCCACGATAATGAGCTGAACCTCATACAGCTATCAGAGAGGGGAGGGAAAAAAAAAAAAATTATATAGTTCTTACACTGTTAAAACCAGCACAATCTAATAAAACATGCTTGAATGGATAAAGGGATTTGGCAAAGCGAACATGTTTGGGCATCTTCCCTAGTATTAAAAACTTGTGTCCTCCTGGAATGACCACACACGAAATTTTTCCAACAATTTGAGTTTGTTGTAGCTATATAAACTGTAGATCCCACTCAGTTTGCCATTTGAACAAATTATTGGTTCTCTCTACATCTACGGAGAAGCAACATTTACCCAGAAGCCTACTGCACAGACTTCATGAACCTCTAACTGGCTACAAAACACAAATCAGAAACTTTCATTTTATAGCTTGCCGGCACTGCAGCAACATTTGGCCTCATTTGGCCTCGGGGGGGAGGGGGGG